GCGGGCCCTCCCATCCAGACTAGTGTTACTAGTGCCATTGGTACGACTACTGTTACGACGACTACTACTACTACTCCTATTACTCCTACTACTACTACTACTACTACTACTACCACCACCACCACCACCACAACTACTACTACTACTACTACTACTACTCCTACTACTACTACTACTACTGCTACTACTACTACTACTACTACTACTACTACTACGGCGACGACGACTACTACTACTACTACCACTACTACTACTACTACTACTACTACTACTACCACTACTACTACTACTACCACTACTACCACTACTACTACTACGACTACTACTACTACTACTACTACTACTACTACTATTACTACTACTACTTCTACTACTGCTGCTACTACTTGTTCTGCAAACTGTACGACCAAAGGCATTACTATTAGTCTAGCAGTCGTACAAGTATTACTAGCACTTCTACTTCCACAGTGCTACTACTCTGTACTACTACTACTACTACTACTACTACTACTACTACTACTACTACTACTACTACTACTACTACTACTACTACTACTACTACTACTACTACTACTACTACTACTACTACTACTACTACTACTACTACTACTACTACTACTACTACTACTACTACTACCACTACTACTACTACTACTACTACACTACTACTACTACTACTACTACTACTACGACTACTACTACTACTACTACTACACTACTATACTACTACTACTACTACTACTACTACTACTACTACTACTACGACTACTACTACTACTACTACTACTACTACTACTACTACTACTACTACTACTACTACTACTACTACTACTACTACTACTACTACTACTACTACTACTACTACTACTACTACTACTACTACTACTACTACTACTACTACTACTACTACTACTACTACTACTACTACTACTACTACTACTACTACTACTACTACTACTACTACTACTACTACTACTACTACTACTACTACTACCTACTACGCGCCAGCACCCAGTTGCGCCAGCATTGTTTCTTATGTTGTGGGAGGGCGGAACGTGCCCGTTGTTCCTTTCAACATGGCCAGTCTTGTCGTCGACGATGCGAAATGCGTGGCGGGAGTGGGACGCGGCGCACATTCCGCGCGGACGTCAATGCGGTGTCCTGGGGTATCCTCCACTCGCACTTAAATGCCCGCGCAGCCCCCAGTTGTGCCATCACTGGTTCTTATGTTGTGGGAGGGCGGGTGGGAATGGGCATGCCATGCTTGACTCGCTCAAGCTGGCTAGCTTGACCCCCCCACACCCTCACCTCCACCCCGTCCAGCCAGACCTGGGCCCACGCACTCCCAGCCCCAGGCCGCAACCCAGAAACGAAGGGCCCGCTTGAGGCCACTGATGCGGCATAGACTTGGAGCGATGGGGACGACGACGACGACGACGACGACGACGACGACGACGACGACGACGACGGCGACGGTGACGGCGACGGCGACTGCGACGGCGACGGCGACGGCGACGACGACGACGGCGACGGCGACGGCGACGGCGACGGTAAAGGCGACGACGACGGCGACGGCGACGGCGACGGTGACGGCGCGGCGACGATGCAGGCGACGGGGACGGGGACGGGGACGATGACGGAGACGACGACGACGACGACGACCGGAGAAGGCGTCAGTTTGGGGGGCTCGCGCCCACGGGCGTGCTGCGCGCGGGCTGAATGCTCGAGGGCGGTGCGGCCGAGAAACGACGCTGGCTGCTCGCGCCCTCTCTCCTCGTACTCCGTCTCCCCTCACTTCACACCACCCCTCTCCCCTGCGTCACTCGCCTCCTCCTCCTCGCTTTGGCCCTCCACCCTCTCTCCGCACCTTCCCTCGCCCCCAGCCCTCGCTCCCCATCCCCAATTCCCCCCCCGTCACCTTCCGCCCTGCCTCTCCCTTCACCGCCCTTCCCCCAGCCCGGCCCTGCCCCTCCCCCCCCCCGCCCTCATTTCTCCCTCGCTGCCCCTCCCTCCGCACTCCCTCCCCCCCCTCCTCTCGCTTTCCCTTCTCCCTCCCTCCTCCACGGCCCTTCGAGGCGTACGTCGCCGCGACTGCGACTTGGGATGTAAGCGATCTGGGCGAGGATACGCTGCGTCACGTGCACATGTCTCCTCTCTGTCACTAACCGAAGGGAGGAGAGAGATTCGAAGCCCACGCCGAAATAGAAGAACAGGCCAATAATGCCATGCCTACTCCTCTCCCTCGTCCTCTCAGCCTCTACTGTGCCCATGCTGATGGCTCCTCTTCGTGATTGTGTGCCGGCCCGCGGAGCTGCCCGCGTAATTCCCCCACTGCGCGTACGGAAGAAAGCGTGCGGGGCAAAACCAGTTGCGTTATGTATGCGCGATTCCGTCGAAAGAGCATTGTTTTAATTCGTTGCGTTCGTGTGTCACGAGTGCGCCTTGGCGTGGCCATTAGCATTGTGGTGGACCTCGGCGCGGCCCTGATAAAGCCGCCAGCCAGGAGGATAATCCTTGGGTGCTTGGTTTGACGTTGCATGGTCCGCGGGTGTGCAGATGACCTCTAGGAGCTCCGCCTAATCAGAATAGCGCCGTTGCGCACTTCCGAAGACTGAAGGTTGGGAGGCGCATGATATACCTGCCAGATGGCAGGGGTCCGTGCACGCGCTGAAGCCAAAAGAAGTGCCCTCTGCAAACGTATCCAGATACATTTGCGGAGGTCTTAACGCACTCCATATTATATTATGTCAGGATGGCGAAGATGCCCAGCGACTTCCCCGCGAATGGCCCTGCATCTGCCACGAGATACTGGGCGCCAGCGGTAAACCGTCAACCTTTGTTACCGCCGGGGGACTCGTAGAGCTTCCTGACAACATATAATGTCGAAAAGCATTACACAGAAAAATAGTTTTTCAGCCCAACGAATTTCAGACCTCTCGGATGCAACAGCCAAACGCCTCCGATGCTTCTGGATTTTCTTCTCTACGAGCTCTGTAGCTCTCCTACAGCCCGAGTTACGTGCGTAAATCGACAGCACCTCTCAAGATGACTCGAACAATACGAATAGTATGCAAATCTAGCTCGAGTATCAGACCGAGTTCAGACCGCTGCATACGACAGACGGACGCGTCTGATGTCTCTGAACCGATTCCTGTTATTACCAGCTCTGCAGCCTCCCCTACAGCACGAGTTTTGTGCAGAAAACCGACAGCACCTCTCAGGATGACTCGAACAATACGAATAGGTTCGCGGACCTAGTTCGGGCAGCAGACAGAGTTCGGAGCTCTGGATTCGAAAGGCGGACGCGTCTGATGTCTCCGAATCGATTGCTGTGATCACCAGCTCTGCAGTCCCCAAACAGCCCGAGTTAAGTGCAGAGAACCGACAGCATCTCTCAAGATGACTCGAACAATACGAATAGGTTCGCGATTCTAGTTCGAGCAGCAGACCGAGTTCAGAGCTCTGGATTAAACAGACAACGGCCACTAATGATTCTGAATCAGATTCTGTACGTATCAGCTCTGTAGCTGTCCTGTATCTCGAGTTGAGTACAGAAAACCGAGAGCGTCTGTTAAGATGACTCGAATAATACGAATAGGTTTGCGGACCTAGCTCGGCTAGCAGACCAAGTTCAGATCTCTAGGTTCAACAGCCGAACGCGCCTAATCATTCTACATCGATTAGCTGTGCTTACCAGCTCTGCAGCTGTCCTAAAGCTGCAGTTATGTTCAGAAAACCGTCATTGCGTGTCAAGATGACTCGAAACGGCCGATCCCGCCTGCCTGCTTTTTGGCAGTAAAAGGTACGCGATCGAGCTGAGATCAAGATGACGAGCGGCAATAAGATCGAATACCATGGGAAAAAACACTAGAGCTCAAACGAATTTTTGAATTTAGAGAAAAAATCTTCAACCGACCAAAAGTCACCAAAAGGTCCGTCGAGATTTTTCTTGCCAACTAGCTCTCCAGCGCCCCGGAATTACTCTTAAGCTTCCAGCAATAACTTGCTAAGGGAAGCTCTACGAGTTACTGGATGCATGGCCGAGTGATTAGTGTGAAGGTCTTGCGGCCGGTGACGCCGACACTGGAGGGGGGCGACGACGACGACGACGACGACGACGACGACGACGAAGACGACGACGACGACGACGGCGACGACGGCGGCGACGACGGCGGCGACGGCGGCGGCGGCGGCGGCGGCGACGACGACGACGACGGCGACGCAGACGGCGACGGCGACGGCGACGGCGACGACGACGACGCCGCTGACACCCCGGAGCCGCAGGGCTCTCCCGGCGAGGGGCCGCGTCGGCGGTGCACTGGCGGTGCGGCGCGATCCGTCGACCCCATCTACTCCGACCACCCCAGACCCCCTCGAGTTATGAAAAAATCACGACGCGAGGTTTTTCATGATCTTCGGCCTCTGGGGGCCCTTACCGGCCCTCGGGACCGTCAAAAAACGACTCAGGACGAAAAACCGGTCCGGGGAAATGGGTCCAGACCTCTGGGGGTCGACGTCATGAAAAATTCATGGCGTCGGGGGTCTGGGACACCTGGGAGGCCTCTACCACCACCACCCCTCCACCCAACCCCCGGGCGGGGGGGGTGCGTCACGATCCCGGGACCCCCCCCCCCCCAACCCATCCTCAAGGTCACGCGGCAGGCTGCGACAAGCCGCAGGGGGCACGCGCCAAGGCCAAGGAGGTCTGGAAAAACTTGGGGCCCGGGCCCCTGACGGACTCCTCGGGGCTGGGCAAGGGACCAGAGGACACGCCCACGCCGTGCCCAGAGGCACGGTGGCGGCTCTGGTGCTCCTGCCAGGCTGGTCTTCTTGCTGCGCACCTCGGGGTCGCCACCTTTCGGCCCCCACGCGACTCTCGTGCCCCTGGCCGCCTCGCAGTCCATAAAAAGCAATGGTCCGTCCACACCTCGGAAAATGTCTCCCCCCCCCCCCCCTTCGCACCCCTCTGCCCTGCCCCCCCCCCTCGGGCGCACCCGTGCAGCTCCAGGCCTGTTTTGGCACAGCCCGGAGGCCCCGACGACGCCCCGCGGCGGCCCCGCTGCGCGCACACTCCGCGCGATGCCCCGCACGGCCCGGGCGCGCGCGGGGCCCCTGCTGGCCGCGGCGGCGGCCGTCTGGGGCGGCGCGGCGGCGTTCGCCGCTCCGAGGGCTCCGCAGGGGGGCGTCGCCCCTCGCGGTCGTCGTCGTCGCCGCCGCCGTCAGTCCATCCTCCTCCTGCTCCTGGTCCCCCTGCTCCACCTCACCCTCCTCCTTCATCCCCTCTCCTCCATCCCCTTCTTCTCCGCCTTCTCCACGTCCTCCTCCTCCTCCTCCTCCTCCTCCTCCTCCTCCTCCTCCTTTTCCTACCCCTCCTCCTTCTGCTCCTCATCATCCTTCTCCTTGTCCAGATCCTCCTCCTCCTCCTCCTCCTCCTTCTCCTCCTCCTCCTCCTCCTCCTCCTCCTCCTCCTCCTCCTCCTCCTCCTCCTCCTCCTCCTCCTCCTCCTATTCCTCCCGCCTTGTCCATCTCCCCCACCCGCCCATCCGTCTTCCCCAACTTCTCCTCCATTCCTCCATTGCCTCCCGGTTCTCCTTCCGGTCGTCCTCCACCCCTCTGTCCTGTCTCCCCCTCCCGCGCGTGTGTTCTCTGCGAGGCCTGTGCGCACCGCCCGCCCCGAGGGGGTCGAGGCTTTGCGTAACCTCGAGGAGAGCGTGGGTCCACACAAGAGGCTCGCAGAACAAATTCCACCGCCCCCTCCTGTTGACCGTGCGGGCCCTTCCTGTTTAGGCGATCGACATGTTGTCCATGCCCCTGCTGCTGCCTGACGCTGTGGGCGCCACGGGAGTGGGGCATAGGTAAAAAAACGCGTCCGGAGATTGGGATTTCATCCATGCCCTCGCTCTGGCCCCTCCTGGCGTTGGGGCGTCAGCAGCGGTATGCCTAAAACATCGGTCGCCGACTGTTCACCGTGCAGCGCGGCCCTCCCGTGGCCCTCCGATCGGAGGCACCAGCGTTTCCGCTGGGTCAAATCCAGCTGCAGGCTGCGCTCCACGAGCGGGCTCGCCAGAGGGAGCGAGCAGCTTGAGAGAGAGAGAGAGGTCGAGAGGAGGCGTGTCCTGGAGCGCCATCGGCGCCACCCAAATGCCCAAATGTACTAAAAGTTCCGCGCACGCTCCCTCCTCCTCCTCCTCCTCCCCCTCCTCCTCCTCCTCCTCCTCCTCCTCCTCCTCCTCCTCCTCCTCCTCCTCATTCTCCTCCTCCTCCTTCTCCTCCTCCTCCTCATCATCATCATCCTCCCGAACACCTTATAGTGTATATAAGCTCCGTGGCGGGCGCTGTCTGGCCGTACCACTCGGGAAACGGCATGCCACAAGATATTGTATTGTATGATCGGGTCGGACGGACGCCTCCAAGTAGGACACGTAGTGCTGCTGTGTCCTCCTGTGTCCCACGCCACCCCGCCGCAGGAGCCTACTGCCTGTGGCAAAAGCTTGGTCCGCCTCCTCGGCGCTCAACCTGTCTTGTGCCACCCCTGGCCCACGCTGCTCGCGCCCCGCGTCGAGCGCCGCGGCTCCCCGATCGTCCTCCCCCCTCTTCCTGCTCCACCTAAGCCTACCACTCCTCCGCCTCCCACTCCTCATCGCGCTTCTCGTCCTCATCCTCCTGCTCCTGCCGTTCGGTCTCGTGCCGATCGCTTGCTATGGCGGTTGTCCTGCCGAGGCAGTAGGAGGGGGAGGAGGAAGAGGAGGAAGGTTCCGCTTCCTCCATAGTTTCCTCCTCCGCCCGTCAGGTGCCCTTTCCCGAATGGCCCGCAGGGCAGCAAGTCCGCGACATCTCTCTCGTTTGTTTCTTTGTTTTCTTTTTTTTTTCTCTCTATCTCTCTCTCTCTATATATGTGTGTGTGTGGATCGTTATCTTTCCGATTGTCCTCGGCCCTCACGGTGCGTGAGGAGGTCTTCGTGGCGTCGCAGGGCTCAACGTTTTCAGAAACGTGGCGCGGCGTCTGCTCGCTGACGACTCGAGAGGGCAGGCTCGGTTTCCCGATACCCCCTCGGCACTGGCCGCAGAGCTTTCGGCTTTGGGGGTCCGCCCCCGTCCTCAGAACGGCGTGGTACAAGCAGCGGGTGGGAGCCCAATCTCGAATCTACGTCCCTGCCCCCATCACAGCCACAAGCATGCTGGTGAAAATGAGAGTGGTCGGGATCGTATGCTCGGTCCTTGGTTTGCCCCTCGTGAGGGGGGTGGGGTATTTTGTCCTCGTCGCCACGGCTAGGACTCGGATTGGAAAGTTGGCAGGGAATGCGCTTGGGAGGCAGCAGCAGCAGGATAACGATGACGACAACGAGCTGCAGGATCGGGAGAAGCAGGACGACGATAACGAGCTGGCTGTAGAAGGATGAGGATAAGGAAGAGTTGGAGGTGGGAGAGAGGAAGAAGAGTAGGAGGAGGAGGAGGAGGAGGAGCAGCAGCAGGAGCAGGAGGAGGAGGAGGAGAAGGGAGGAATTCTAGGTCGAGTTTAGTTTTGGTCGCGTTTGCGCGAGGGGGGTCGACGTGGAACGAAGGCAAACAGGCGCCCTCGAGGGTGTATCCCTCGCAGGTGAGATCGGGCACACTCGGCGAGTGCCGCCAGCCTCGCCGCCAAGCCAGCGGCGACGACGACTACGAAGCGGCGCGGCTTCGCGCGACGCCTGCGCACACCACGCCCCAGGCTCACTCGCGCATTCGACGGGGTCGTCGCGCCGCCGCCGCTACGCACAGCTAGCTCGTGGCTTCGCACCCCCACATCTGAGAGGCGCACGCCCCGAGGGCCACGACGCGACGCGACACTCTTCCCATCTCGCCCAACCCGTCGAGCGCCCCCTGCCGTCCGTCGCTGCCTGGCGCTCGGCCTCTGCGGCGTGCTCGGCTTCGGCAGCCACCGTGCACCGAGCCGCCCCGCGGCGCTGGGCCTCAGCCAGGGGCTCGCGGCCTCCGCAACGCGTGCGGCCTGCGCCGGGCGCGGGCCCGCCGCCGCCTGCGCGGCCTCCGCCCGGCGCTCGGCCGTCGCCTGGCTCGCGGCCGCTGGCGCCTCGGCGGAGGCGGCGGCACCCGGACGCCTCTGGGCCGCCGTCTTCCCTGGCTCTTAGCCCCATCCGCCTGCTGCTGTGCTCTGCGGCGACGGTGCCTCGCGGCCTCGGTAGCAGTGCACGCCTGCCTCGGTCGCAGCGCAGCCCGGCTGCGCGCTGCCTCTCCGCGAGGCGCCCGCCGATCTCCGAGGGGCCAGGCCGCGGCAGCCGGCCATCCGCGGTTGGCCTCCCTCGGCCGTGCGCTCGCTCTGGCTCGCCGGCGCCCTCGGCCTCGGCCTCCGCGCGGCCTTCGGCCGCCGCCTCGCGGCTGGCGGCCGCCGCGCGCTCGGCGCGGGTATCGGCCCCGTCGCGCGGCTTCCGCCGAAGGCTGAGCCTGCAGCCAAGACGCTGAAACAAGGGCCCCTTTAGGCCGCTCCGCGGACCTGTGTCGGGGAAGCCCTCTTCGCGGCCGAGGCCCGCCGAGGCCAGAACAGCCCATCCGTTCCTGACTCGGCGCATCTCATGGTAACACGATGGCTGTACACTTGCCTCTGGTCCGCATTCGCGCTCGCTCCCAGCGCCTGGCGCGAAGCCTCCGCTCAGCGCCCAGCGCTCGCCGCAGCCGCCGTACGCTCGAGGCGCGCCGCGCGCTCGGCGGCCTATGTCTGTGCATGCCTCGCCTTGCAGGCCCTTGGCTTTGGCATCGGGCTTTGGGGGTGGGTGCTTGTTGGGACAATGCCGCTCTTCTTCATTCCCACTGGTTGTGGCTTCGTGTTAGTTAACAGGGACATCAAGGTGGCCTTGGCATCGAGCACACTGTACCCATCATCCCCGCGAAGTGCGATGGCACAGCACGCGCATAGAACAAGGACTCGGCCTGTCAGCAGGTGCCCCACAGAAATGTCTGATTACCAGAAGCTCTGTGGCACCAGAGGGCCCATCTGGATCGACGAAGAATTTGCCCCAACCTGTCTTGCATAGCCAGATGTCTGATCGTGTACGTGTGCCTGCGGTGTGCCGTGCTATCTGCGGATCGGACCCCGCGCGGAGGTTGGAACAAAGCCATCTGTGGCCGCGCTTGCGCCGCACAGATGCTACCACGTCCGCCCCTGACGTGGCTCCTCACGCAGCTTGAGGGTGAACGTGGCCTGCACGCGCGCAGGCGTGCCTGGTCTTGCGATTATGCTGCAGCTGTCAGCTCCACGGGGGGGGGCGCCAGGCACTGGCACCTCGTTCTTCCAGCTTTGCGCATCTCGTGTGCACAACAGACAGATCCGCGTCATCCTGCCCTCCCACTCCCGCGCGCGCTCGAGCCAGCTTGAGCCAAAATGGTGGTGTGGATGAGGAGGAGGAGGAGGAGGAGGCGGCGGCGGCGGCGGCGGCGGCGGCGGCGGCGGCGGCGGAGGAGTGGGGGAAAGAGCGGGAGCAGAAGCAGGGAGGGAGGAGGAGGAAGGACGAAGGAGGAGGGATAAGGAGAAGGGGAGGAAGAGATGGGTGAGGAGGAGGCGCGCATGCAGAAATTGAAACTTGTTCCTGCAACCATCCCGTCCGCAGGCGCAGCCATCGCCCTCTGGAAGGAGTCCTCAGCGTATCCTTTCGCACCCTCATGCTGCCGGATCGCCCCCGAGGCTCTTTGGATCCTTTGGGCCCTTCGTCCTAGGAAGGCCAGAGGCCAGCTCCAAGGAGGCCATTGCAGAGTCGATGGTGTTTCTGTTGCTCTGCGAAGCAGTGGGGAGGCCCCTCTGGAGGAGGAGGAGGAGGAGGAGGAGGAGGAGGAGGAAGAGGAGGAAGATGAGGAGGAGGAGGAGGCGGAGGAGGAGGATGAGGAGTGGCAAGAGCAGGACGAGGAGCAACAGGCCTCGAGTACCCTGCCTGTTGCCGCCTCCGCTGCCTACCGTCCCGCAGGCTTCTGGCCAGCTGCTGCGCCAGCCGCCAGCTGCTGCGGAGCTGCCGCCTTCGGCGGGTAGCACCTCTCCAGAGGCTGCGGGTAGGCATACGGTCGGGAACGGTTGCGTCGCTCGGCGGCGAAGTCTGAACCATACCTTTGCCGAGCGACGATTCGGGCAACTCGATCGGCGGCGGGGGTAGGGCTCGGAAAATTCGTCGAACACGTGGCGAAGTCCGAACCCCACCCCCGCCGCGAAGGCAGGGGGTCAGGGTTTGGATTTCGCCACGGCTCGTCCTTTTTCTCCTCATCCTCCTCCTCCTCCTCCTCCTCCTCCTCCTCCTCCTCCTCCTCCTCCTCCTCCTCCTCCTCCTCCTCCTCTTTCCACCCCCTCCTCCTCCTCCTCCTCCTTCTCCACATCTTCCTCCCGTATCGGTTCGGACGAGGGGGAGGAGGAGGAGGAGGAGGAGGAGGAGGAGGAGGAGGAGGAGGAGGAGGAGGAGGAGAATCGATGGGTTCGGATGTCGCCACCTGTTAGCGTGTCGCACAGCCGGTTCTGGCTCACCACGCTTCGGCGCGACGCGCTAAGCCACATCCCAGTCCTGGAGCGTCAACGGTCCGAGCCGTTCCCAGCCTCCCGGCCCGCGAAGCGGAGCGACGCACTAGGAGCTCGTAGAGCACAGCGTGTCGTTGGAGCCGCCGCCGCCACAGGCTCAGCAGAAGTTCCTTGACCATGTCTGCTCCAGGGCCCAAGCCCTTCTCCCCATATGGTAATGTGTTCGCCCCCTCCTCCTCCCCCTCCTCCTCCTCCTCCTCCTCCTCCTCCTCCTCCTCCTCCTCCTCCTCCTCCTCACAGTGTGGGACTGGTGTGGTGCGGTGGTTGTGGGGGGCGTGTGCGCATGCGAGCCGATGGTCCGTGCGATTCCCGCATCAGGCTGTGGAGAGCTTGCGGCAGACCTCGCCGGACGCTACCTGGTTCAGATCGTTGGTCGCTGGCGCTGCGCTGGGGCTGGTTGCGGCCACGCTCCCTCTTTCAGTCAGCGAGGTCATGCAGTGCATCAGTACTCCTCATCCTCCTCCTCCTCCTCCTCCTCCTCCTCCTCCTCCTCCTCCTCCTTCTCCCAGCAGCCTGGGGTGGTGAGGGTACGTTGAGTCTCCGCGTCCGCCGTCACCGCCCCGACGCCCTGCCCACCGCGCTGCTCTCGCGTCGAGGAGCACGCCAGAGAGTGCGGCGCATTGTCCGGGTGCCCTGCGGCAGGTCCGCCACCATGCCACCGAACTTCTCTCTGCGCGGCGGCCCCTCCTCCTCCTCCTCCTCCTCCTCCTCCTCCTCCTCCTCCTCCTCCTCCTCCTCCTCCTCCTCCTCTCCTCCTCCTCCTCCTCCTCCTCCTCCTCCTCCTCCTCCTCCTCTCCTCCTCCTCCTCCTCCTCCTCCTCCTCCTCCTCCCCTCCCCCTCCTCCTCCTCCTCCTCCTCCTCCTCCTCCTCCTCCTCCTCCTCCTCCTTCTCCTCCCCCTCCTCTCCGCGCAGTCGCCCCCCTGCCGCCCCCCCAGTGGCACATGTGAAGGCCAGAAGGCCTTCACATGTGGCACGTCTCGTCTCTCCGCGTTCTTCTCTTCAGGAGCTCTCGCGGGGCCGAGTTGAGCCGCATCTGGGGCCGTCGCGGGCGCCAGCCGGCAGTCCTGAAGTCTCTGGGGGCGCTCTTGCGCCGTGTTCGGGGCCCTCTTCGGCAGTCTTTTGGGCCACATTGATCCTTGTCGGGGCTCCCTTGGCCGCCTGGGAGGTCTCTTGGGGCGGTCGCGTGTGGCCGTCTGCGGGCCCTCTCAGGGTGCCTTGGGCTCCTCCCGAGGCCCTCTTTGGCATCGCGGGGGCAGTGGAGGGTTGCTACCCTCCACGGAGCCCCAGGCCGCGCCGAGTCGCCGCCAGAGGCCTCGAGCTGCCGCCTGGGGGTGGTGCCGAGGTTCGCGAGCGGGGCTGGGGCCCAGAGTCCTCGTGCGCGCGAGAATGGACCCCTGGGGCACAGAGGCTACACATTGTGCATCCCTAATTCTTCGAGTTCTTTGTTTTTTTTGGGAGGGCCAAGATCCTTTCATTTCTAATTCTTCTATCCTGGGCCTCTTCCTGGCCACTAGGGGCCAGGAACAGTTAGAAACGAGCACACTTAGAAATGAGCACGATTACAAGTGAACGACGTGTACCCCCTGAGGCACCCAGCCTGAAGTTTGATGCGGGCTCCCCTCCTAGAGCCTTCTCGGAGACCTCCTGGGGAGCCTTCCCAGGGGCTTCCCCCGGGCTCACCCCGCAGGCTCCAAGGAGCTCCTCAGTCAAGAGCGTTGAGTCCGTATATGCTTTGGGCTTGTTTGGGGGTTCCGCATTGCCGGCTAGCCAGAACAGCGAGGCGTCCAGCGAGCGCCCAGTTTTGACAACGAGCCACCCCCCATCCGTGCAGCCTTTTCACAAGAGCTGTCGTCTGGCTGCGGCATTCGAGGAGGTCTCCGGCGAGAGCACCGGTCTGACCATGAGCCGCCGTCCACCCGTGCAGCTGTAACGGTATGGATAGCGATCAAGCTCGAGGGAGTCAGAATCGATGGCCTCGCTTTTGAAATTGGAGCGTGATCCAGCTGTTGTAAGCTTTTTGAGATGAATGCGCGCGGCGCTAAGTCGAAAGCCCCACTCGGAGGAGGAACCACCCTCCATCCTTGAAGCTGCTGCAGGCTTTAGAGGTGAAGGCAACTCGGCCTCCATTCTTGAAGGTGTTGGAGCGATGTAGCGTCAGGGTAAAAATGCGAGGGGGTCTTCAGCGAAACACCCGGTCAGGCCTGCGGAAACGTCTGGTGGTGCGACAGGGGAGTTGCTTGCAAGGAAGAGGGGCCGAGGAAGAGAATGAGGACATGGAGACTAAAGGGGCCACCTGCCCACACGTGACAGTCCTTTATCCCCCGCCCTCCCCGTCATCATCCTGAGCATTGCCCCTCCTCGTGATTCCTCCTGCCCCTGCTCCTCCTGCTTGCTATATGTCTCGTGATCCTCCTCAGCGTCTTCACACTCATCCTCCCTCCTCCCCAGGCTCCTCCTTGTTTTGCCTGTCTCCTCATTTTCCTTTGCTCCTCCCCACCTTCCTGCTCTCCACCCTCCCCCCCCTCGACCCGCATCCCTCCTCCCTGCTCCGTCCTCTCCTCCCATCCCCTCGCCTCGCCTCCCCTGGCCCGTCCCTCCCCGCTCCCATCTTTGCCTGGTGGAGAAAAGCGGGCGCAGGAGGAGGGACAGCAGCGGGGGAAGCAGGTGCGTAAAGGCGCCCGGCGAAGCAGCAACCAACGCATTGGCTTCGGAATCCATGGATCCTGGACGGCCAAAGAGAGCTCCCGAAGGGCCCCAAGAAATGCCGAGACCGCCGAAGAGGCCCTGGATATCTCCCAACGAGGCTTTGGAGTCGGCCCGAGAGGGGCCCAAGAAAGCTGTCAGACCGTGTGAAAAGGTCCAACCAGTGTGCCACAGTGCCCCGAAATTGCCCAACAGGCCACAAGAGGCTGGAAGAAGCAAATGAGCAAATATAACAGCACAAAGGAACACCGAACAGCAGCAGGCAACCGCGAACGACAGCTAGCAACGGCCACAGCAGTAAGCGATTCAAGCACTAGGGTTTCCCGTCGCGCATGTAAGAAGTATTCAAGGGATCATGGCTTGCACAGCGCGGATCCACCATAGCTTACATGTCCCAGGGCACCAGGAGACTCTGAGGATACGTGTAGTTTCGGAGAGGGAGTATATTTCCTCGGGGCCTTTGTAGGGGTTGCGTGGGTTCAGAAGGTTATCGTTTAAAGAGTTGAGGGTTAGAGTAAGTATGAGCGCCAGAAGCCATGCTGTTTGCACATCGCTGTATTGTTCCTTGCCTTATGATGCTTAGGATGCTCAGACCTGCTCCTCGCAGCCGAATGGCCCCTGCTAGGCGGACGGACGTGCATCACAATCTACAGATTTAGATGTTCGTCCCAGCCCGCGAGATCGGCGTTCTGAGTTTCGTTTCACGTTCTTCTTACAAATGGATCGGTGTATGAGCCTTGTTTGCTTTTCTCAGTTGGCCTGCTACACAGATATCCGTGTTTGACCTGGGCTCGCTCGACCGGGGGTATCGTGCAGTTCTCATCGACGTCTCCTTGTCAGGATTCCAACAGGGAAGCGGCGAGCGGGAGGGTTCGGTGAGTGATTCGTGCTGAAGTGTGGCGAAGGTCCGACGCGCTCAGCAGAAGCACGACATCGATACACGTGTGCGCGCACGCGTCCCCGGCGCAGGCAAAGAGCCTGCGCAGACTTGTACCAGAAGTTCCCGCGCCAACCCCCACGCGTGGAACACTGCTGCAGCCCAGGCCCCCAGCGTGACTACTGCACGTGGCGGGCCTGCCTTTCCAGACCCAGCTCATGCAGCCCGGGACTCCCCGGGGTCCCCCCCCGGCCAGGACCGGCCGTCCGTCCCGAGTGGCCTCCTGGCGGCGCTGCCCCGGGACCCCTCCCCGGGCCGAAGGCGGCGCGAGCGCGGGGAGCACGACGCGATCTCTGAGGGCGGCGTCCCATAATTCAACAATTTGAAACGGGCGACGTATGGAAAACGCAACCCCCGACGACTGCCCCAAGGACACATTGCGCGGGAAACGCGTTTCCCATTATTCGAATTCCGAGCCACGGGAAACGCAATTTCTTCCCCGGCGGCCTTCCTCCCAGGGCTCCTCGGGAGCGGGGCCTCCCCCGACAAGCAGTCTGCACCGCATCCCCACGGCCGGCGCGCCGCCCCGGGCCGCCTCCCCGGCAGCCCCCCCGCGGGGCCAGGGCGGACCTCCCGAGAGGCCCACGCCGCGGAGAGAGAGAGAGAGCGAGCGGCTCTTGCCGGGACGCCCGAGCCCGGGCCCCGGGCTCGTTTCGATTCTTCCGATCCGATTCGATTCGATTTCGATGGCTTCCGATTCCGATTCGATTCGATCTGGGATTCCGATTCGAGTTCCGATTTCTTATTGGAGGCATACTGGCCTGCCGGTTTCTGCCGATCCGACTTTTCCCGACTCGGCTGCCGATTTCCGACGATCCGATTCATGTCGATCGCCGATCCGACTTGTCGATCCGATCCTGGGCTCTCCTGCGGGCCCCTCTCGCCCCGTCGAGCGCCGCAGGCCGCGTTTGTGCCAGCGGCCTCAGCCGCGGACCTGAAGAACGGCGAGGCCGTCTTCAACAACATCTGCGCCGCGTGCCACGTGGGAGGCGCGGATGGCACCAGCACTTGCTGTGCTGCCTTTCTGTGCATAGCTCCTCGCCGCACCACCAGACGTGTCGTTAGGGCGGGCCTGGCGTTTCACAGAAACCTTCACCACGGCGCGTGATTTTGAAGCGTGGGATTTCCAAGAGCTACAGAGGTATACGACGAAGCGTTTTCAAATACAGTTATCGTCTTGCTGCGCAGATTCGTCCAAAGTGTTGCCAATAATTGCACGGATGTAGGGCGAATGGTTTCCCGAATACGTTTCTGGCTTCAAAGCCGCGCACATTCGGCTTAAATGCTTACTCGGGCTGATGGGCGAGTTTCGGTCGCACTGCGTTTCTCAGCTCAGCGCCGCGCCCACTCGTTCCAACATATTCCATCAACGACCCGGTTGGCGGGCGAATGCTTTTCAATGAGTTCTCGCCATAGCTCCGCGCACATGCATGTCATGATTCTCCCACCGATACGCAGATGGAGGGTATTGTATGTTCAAAGTTCGGTGATTGCCTTAGTGCCGTGCCCGTTCGCTTCAACAGTTTCCAGCGGGCATCCAGGCAAAAGGGCGGTCGCTCTCGCTTCAGCGCCGCGAGCCCTCGCTTCGAAGTGTACAGTTGGAGAGCGTCGCTTCGAGATGGCGATGCCATGTGATCGTAGGGGAACAAATAGTGACATAGACAGAACAACTCGGAGGCGCCGGGGCTCCCTGGCGGTGCCTCCGGCGCCGCCCCTGGCGCGCTCCGCGCGCCAGGGAGGGGGGTCCAGCGCCGATCCGAGAAGTCCGCGCGGACCTCCGAGCTTTTGTGTTTGTGTCACTTTTTGGTTCCCCTTAGAGATGGCGATGCCATGTGATCTACCCTCGAAGATGTGTGGCCAGACGTGCGAAGCTGCGCAGCACTTGCACACCGGCGGTGCGCGGCCTATGTGTTTCAGAGCGGGGCTCTCGCGGGACATGCTCTCGGATGGCTTCTGTTCTCTGGTGACTCGTGGCCCCTCCTGCCAACGTGCCTGGGCTGTGGGTTAGAGGACTCTCGTGTGTTCATGTGGCTATCGTGGGAGGCCTCTCGGGGCCTCTGAGCGGCAATCTTGGGGCCTCTTGGGGGTCATTCTGGGGCCGCTTTGGGGTCCTCTTGGGGGTCTCTAGGGGGCCTCTTGGGCTCTCTTGGGGGCCTCTTGGGGCCTCCCGGTGGCCTTTTGGAGCGGAAGGCTCGAATTGTCGGTTCGTGTTCTCCCTCTTGGAGCCGTCTTGGGGCCCTCTTGGGCGATCTTGGGCGCCTCTTGGGCCGTGTGGGGGCCCTCTTGGATCGTCTTGGGGCCATCGTGGGGGCCTCTTGGGCAGTCTTGGAGCGGTCTTGGGGACCTCTGGGGCAATTTTGATGCGTCGGAAGCCCGAAAACGCGAAAGCGCGAAACATACAACAATTATCCCGGCAAAGCAACCTAACAGCGATGTGTGTCAGCATATCTGGAAGCATTCCCCTTAAGATTCAGGTGAGAATCCAGTTGTAGAATTCTGCTGTTCTCGCAGTCGCAGTCGCATTAGCAATGACAGTCGCAGTGGCAACGGCCTTAGGATCCAATGGAATCCGAAGGATTCCTAGGGATTCTTAAGGCATCTTTAGGCATCCTTAGGAATCCATAGGAATCCTTAGGAAACCTTAGGAATCCTTAGGAAGCCTGATTCCTAGGGGTTCCTAGGGATTCCCAAGGATTCCTAGGGAATCCTAAGGATTCCGAAGGATTCGCCTGCCTCGGCCTCAGCCTCAGCCTGCCTCAGCCTCAGCGTCAGCCTGTCTCCGCCTCAGCCTGCCTCAGCATCAGCCTCAGCCTCAGCCTCAGCTTGCCTCGGCTTGCCTCGGCCTCAGCCTCAGCCTGCCTCGGCCTCGGCCTCAGCCTCAGCCTGCCTCAGCCTCAGCCTCAGCCTGCCTCAGCCTCAGCCTGCATCAGCCTCAGCCTCAGCCTGCCTCAGCCGCAGCTTGCCTCAGCCTCAGCCAGCCTCAGCCTTCAGCCTCAGCCTAGCCTGCCTCAGCCTCAGCCTCAGCCTCAGCCTCAGCCTCAGCCTCAGCCTGCCTCATGCCTCAGCCTCAGCCTCAGCCTCAGCCTGGCCTCAGCCTCAGCCTGCCTCAGCCTCAGCCTCAGCCTGCAGCCTCAGCCTGCAGCCTCAGCCTGCTTCAGCCTCAGCCTCAGTCTGCCTCAGCCTCGGCCTCAGCCTCAGCCTGCCTCAGCCTCAGCCTGCATCAGCCTCAGCCTCAGCCTCAGCCTCAGCCTCAGCCTGCCTCGCCTCAGCCTGCCTCAGCCTCAGCCTCAGCCTGCCTCAGCCTCAGCCTCAGCCTGCCTCAGCCTCAGCCTCAGCCTGCCTCGGCCTCAGCCTCAGCCTCAGCCTCAGCCTCAGCCTCAGCCTCAGCCTCAGCCTCAGCCTCAGCCTCAGCCTCGGCGTGCCTCAGCCTCAGCCTCAGCCTGCCTCGGCCTCAGCCTGCCTCGGCTTCAGCCTGCCTCCTCGGGCATTCAAAATATGGCACAGGACTGGCGTTCTGGGAACACGAAGATCACGAAGTGGCTTACAGTTGGCTCCGGACAATCAGGATTTGGTACAGGACTGGCGTTCTGGGAACACGACGAACACGAAGTGGCCTACGGTTGGCTCCGGGCATTCATGGCTTGGGAATTGTGTTCTGGGAACATGAAGAACACGAAGTGGCCTACAGTTGGCTCCGGGCATTCAAATGTGGCCTGGGAAGGGTGTTCTGGGAAGACGAAGAACACGAAGTGGCTTACAGTTGGCTCCGGACATTCAAAATGTGGCCTGGGAGTGGTGCTCTGGGAAGACGAAGAACACGAAGTGGCTTACAGTTGGCTCCGGGCATTCAATATGTGGCGTGGGAATGGTGTTCTGGGAATGGATTCTGAAGAATTCCTAAGGATTCCTGGGGCTGGCGGATCCGTCCGGTTCGTCCGGTTCCCGCCCAGACCCACCTGGGGCATCAAGATGTTTTTTTTTGACACCACCAGAAACCTATCAGCAAAAGTTGTTAGGTAAAAACACAAAGAGTATCAATGATGGTGGCATATTTGGGCCCTCTCCGGAATCCTCTCGGAGCGCTTTTGGGGCTTCTTTACAGCCTGTCGGGCCGTCTTGGGGCCACCTGTGGGCGTCTTGGAGCGCTCTTGGGCTGTCTTGGAGGCCACTTGGACCCTCTTGGGCGCTTTCTGGTGCCCCTTGGTCCGTCTTGGGGCCCTCTGGCCCCTGGAGCAGCTCGGGCACGAAGGGAACGCCCAGGAAGTGTGGGAATGTTCGGGCCCAGCCCTTAGAATATTATAATCCCAGGGTCATGAGCACAGAGAACAGAGGACACATCAGAGCCTGGAGAAAATTCCACGTCGCGCCTTGCGGCACAGTGCCAGATGTTTCTGGACATCAGGGTGGAGCGCGTTTGTTTTTAAGTATTGGTCCTGCTTGAGTAGAGGCCCATTTTGCGCGCGTCGTTGACGGACCCGCTTCCCAGAGTGAGTACACTTTGTTGTAGGGGGGACTCGGGCGTATTGGGACGGGAGGACGTGTTGCAGCATCGTTGGTACATCTTGGGTTGACCCTCCGCCTGCTCCTCCTCCTCCTCCTCCTCCTCCTCCTCCTCCTCCTCCTCCTCCCCCTCATTGTCATAATTATCTTCATCCTCCTACTCCTCTTTATCACCAGCATCATCATCAGCAGCATCATCATCATCCTCATCATCTTCATCAGTTTCAGCATCATCATCATCATCATCAGCATCAGCATCAGCCTCAGCATGTCATTTTCATCTTCATCATCGTCATCATGTTCATCACCCTCCTCCTCGTTCTCCTCGTCCTCCTCCTCCTTCTCAGCCATCGCCCGCCCTCCCCCTTCTCGTGTTCCCCCTGCTCCTTGTCATGCTCCTCCTGATCATGATCCTCCTCGAGCTTACCCCACGCGTGTTTCACGCAGGAGCGGTCTTGCCACCCCTTCATCTGCATCACGTCCCCCTTTTGCACCCGCTGGGCCATCTGGTCCTCCCCACCCTGGCCTCCGAGCCCCCACCACTCATCATCTTCCTCCCCGCCGTGCTCCTCGTCCCGCTCCTGCTCCCCCCTTGGTCCTCCTCTTCCTCCTCCTGGCCCTCTTCGTGCTGTTGCTGTTGCTGCTGCTGCTGCTGCTGCTGCTGCTGCTGCTGCTGCTGCTGCTGCTGGTTCCTCCCCTGCGACAGCCTCTCCCCCCTCTCCCGCGCGCTCCCCTCCCGCCGCCTGCCTGCGCACGGTCAAGACCCACGCCCGTCCATTCCCTTGCATGTCCCCTTCCCCATCCCTCCTCCTCCTCCTCCTCCTCCTCCTCCTCCTCCTCCTCCTCCTCCTCTCCTCCTCCTCCTCCTCCTCCTCTTCCTCCTCCGTCTCCTCTACCTCCTCTTTCTCCTCTCCTCCTGTCCCTCCGCCTCATCCTCCTTCTCCTCCTCCTCTTCCTCCTCCTCATCCTCCTTCTCCTGCCACTTGTCCTCCTCCTTCTCCTCCTCATCCTCCTCCTTCTCCTCCTCCTCCTCTCCCTCATCCTTCTGCCCCTCCTCCTCATCATCATCAGCATCATCATCATCATACTCATCATCATCATATTCATCATCAGCATCATCATCAGCATCATCATCATCACCAGCATCATCATCATCACAGTATAGTCATCATCAGCATCATCACCATCATCATCAGTCTTCTCGTGCCCCTCCTCCTCGTTCTCCTTCTCATCCTCCTCCTCTTCCTTCTGCTCCTCCTCCTCCTCCCCCTCCTCCTCCTCCTCCTCCTCCTCCTCCTCCTCCTCCTCCTTCTCCTCCTCCTCCTCCTCCTCCTCCTCCTCCTCCTCCTCCTCCTCCTCCTCCCCTGCATGCACCCCTCGGCGCGGGGGCGACGTAGCGCGCGCAAGCGTCCCATTCGGGACGGCAGTTCCAGGCCTCCGAGGATACAGAAGCCGCAACAGTTCGAAATCGGCCTGCCAGCAGGTACCCCACGGGGATCTTCCTCCCCCGATGGCACGAGGGCACCTTAGGACCCTCAAAGACCCTCAAAGATCGACAGAGAACGTCAAAGAACCCTGAGAGACCCTCAAGGACCCTCAAAGACCCTCAAAGACCCTCAAAGACCCTCAAGGACCCTCAAAGGCCCAGAATCTCTGGGGAACCTCAGGACCCTCAGAGGTCGACGGAGAATGTACCCCCACACTTCTCATGACACGATCTGGAATCGTGTATGCATTCGGTCTGTGTTTTTGTCGACCATCAGGGCGTTGATCCAAAATTATGGCTTCTGGCAATCAAAAGTGGATCCGGGACGGGAAGTTCCCCCGAGAGAAAGGGTCAGGACCTTTGGGAGTACATATCGAAGAACAGAGAAAGGGAGAGAAAGGGCCGCGCCTTCCAAAATGACATATCGGAAGATGTCTGGAGCGCCCGCTCTAGGGCAGCCCTAAGCACTGTCTCGAGCTGTCAGTCCTCGAGAGCTTCCTCGTCATGTTCCTCGCCACGGTGAGGCGGGCGGGAGAGGAGATGTGGAGAGCAAGGAGGAATTGGACGCGCCTGCGCGATCCGCAGGTGATAATTTGGTATCCTCGGAGAAGACCTTGAAAGCGGATGCTCTCGCGAAGAACGGAAGAAGTGAGCTTGCTAATATCAAGGCGTTTTTCCGTTGTGTCTCTCTCCATGTCTCTCTGGCTGATAAATCGTGATTGTTCATCTCTCCTGGCATGTTCAGGGCTGATATCAGATATACACCTCCCTCCAGCAGGTGTTGCAGCACCTTGCATGCGCTGACTGCTGCACCACTGGCTTGCTGCTGCGCTGCTGCGCGGTCCCAAATTGCCCCGGATGCACGCCTCGAGCAGGGAAGGCGAACAGCCTGGCTGGCGCGGCGGGTGGTCTGGCGATGCCGATGAGGGAGAGTGCATGGAGGGATGAGAAGTCCAGTATGGAACCTTGATTTTCAGAGAGAGTCTCGGAACTGCTCTGGCCTCTTACGTTTTCCTTGGACAAGAGTTGAAAGGGCCTTGGTGAGGCTACCGAACAGCGCGGGGTGATATTGGAGTGTGCCTTGAATGATCTTCAATGTTTCTTGAGCCTTGGGCCCGTGGGAAAGTGTTTGTGAACCGTCCCGCTACTATTTCAGAGGAGTCTTCGAGGAGGAGTTGGCTGGTAGATCGGAGTGCCCAGAAGGCTGTTGGGGCCATTTAAGCCGATCTGGGAGCGACAACGTTGTATATCGTTTGCACAGCTTGTGTTAAGGACTGGCAGAAACAGCATCTCGCCACGTGGGTGCTAGCGGGCTTGGGACTGCTGCAAACAAGACGTCTACCAGAGATTGTCATCGTCACGTCTGTTATCTGTCAATCCTCGCCCCCTTTTCTTCCTCTTCATGTCCTCTTCATCTGCTTCACCTCCTCAAAAGGTCAGCGTCATCAGCATCATCATCATCATTACTCATCATGATCATTGTCACTCCGCCCTTCGCATGATCCTCCTCCCTCCCCTGCTCATAGTAGTCCTCGCTTTGTTCGTCCTGCACCCCCCCCATTTTTCTCTTCACCCTTGTCCTCGACCCTCCTCTTTACCATCCTCCTTGTTCCTCTCTGCCTCCTCACCCCCATCATGTGTGCCTCAGCTCAGGCTCTACCTGAGAGGTATGAACTTCTTTGGTGACGTGTGGCCAATGCCGACTTTGATATTAGGCCAGGTGCAGCGCAGCACATCACATTGCCAGGAGATGCACTGCCATACGACGCGAAGCAGTGCATTGCGAAGTCAAGCAACGCCGAGCACATGAACACAAATCGTCGCAGCGCACTGCGAAACACAACACGGTAAAGCGGCTTGAAGCATATTGAAACGGTTCGTACCAAAATTTAGTCGTGCACATCGGTGCAAAGGAAAGGCATGACAGAGTGTTGAGCATCCCACAGTATTGCACCAGAAATTGGCGCGAAGCAAAGCAGCTCAAATCAAAACAACTCATTATTGTATCCTGTGCCGAGTTGTTCATGTTTGCTTCTAGTGGATGCGAACAGTATTCTACGTGAACGCCTTGTGTGCGAGTGCAACATGCGGCTTACTTGCCTTGAGCTTGCGCTCAATCGAAAGAATAGAGACAAGCTGAAGCTCAGCACAAGGCAGCACTAAGCAACGCAAAGGGGAACGCGTCGCTGCACATTGCTGAGTTGGGTTTGGTCGTGTTGGTTTGGATTGGGTTGGTCTGCAGTGCTGGTGGTGATATGTGCTCTCCCCCGACCCACTGCTGGCCAAGTGGCTTACTCGCTGCCATCTCGGTCGCCCCTTTGACGCCACCTCGCCGCGGCGCCTCCAGAGGCGATCGTGGCTGGAGGGAATGGGGCCATGCCCGCGCTGGGCCAGATCCTGGACGCGACTGAGATCGACGACGTTGCAAACTACGTGCTGGGCAAGTCGAAGACCGGGCGGGCGGGCGAAGTTGCAGCATTCGATGCGAGCGGGGAGGGGGGGGAGCGCTCCTGTGCGAGGGCTTGCTCGGGAGAGGGCAGGGTGGAGATGGCGGGGGGAAGAGGGAAGGGGTGTGGCAAGGAGAGTGCGAGGGCCAGGACGGAGACGGGGAGGGCGGAGGGGGAGGGGGAGAAGGCAGCGGTGGAAGGGGGAGAAGCGGGAGGGGAGGTTGGAGGAGGGAGTTTGAGAAGAGGTGGGGGGGAGGGCAAAGCGGAGGAGGAAGGGGGATTCCTCTTCCTCCTCCTCGTCCTTCTCGTCCACGTCTTCTCTCCCACTGTTCCTTGGCATGGCGTAAGTGAAGAGGAGGCAAGCCGAGAAGGAGGGAGTACAGCTAGCTCGTTGAGCCCCAACAGGTGGAAGTGACGGGCCAGCGGCAGCGGCGGTCGTGGCGCGAGCTCGAGCTTGCTCCAAGATGGCCTACAGGTCTGCATGCGTAGCCGGAGTTTTCGTTGGCAGATGGGGTCTTCAATTTTTTAACGCTAAGGTGCTGCCATTCTCGCTTCGGGTGCAGCTTGCACTTGTTGGGCGAGCGTGGTGCGCCCCGCCTGCGCACAGTTGATACGACAGAACAGTCGCGATTGGCGCAAAGAAATGCTGCTTTGCAGGGCTTAAATTTAGGTTTACTGAGCGAAGTATCGTGAAATGTCCGCCTGCTCATCAAGTCCCAATCCGACGTCGGCGCACACGAAACTCACATCGTGTTGTCTGCCTGTGCAACTGTGTTGCCACACATGTTTCCGCCAGTTGAAGCTAGGTGGTATTGGCACGTCCCGTCGGCATTGTCAACCCATGTTTGTATTAACCCATCGGTCCCGCATTCGGCTGGCCAGGCTGCAACACCTCTGACTCCCTCGTCGAGATGGACAGGGCAAGCATCTGAATCGCACAAGAGACTCCTCTCCCTCCCCTCAAAATACTGGCATCACCGAAGTGGGGAGGGACTGGGTCTCATAGGAAAGTTCGCCGTGGATTTTGACTTTTTTTGCCTTGGCGAAGAGGCCTGCCCGTCACGATCGATTTGGAGGACTAAGCGGGGGAGGAGGAGGGAGATGAAGAGGAAGGGGGGAGGAAGGACAATGGAGACAGGAGGCGCCACGCGCTTTGGAAACAGCATGGTTATCGCCCGAGCAGGCATGATCTGATTGGCATTGCCAGGCAGGTTTTCAAAACAACAGTTCGCACAGTGCTGCCGCAGAACATGCGAAATTAACAGTGGATTTGCGCTTTCTTCGCAATAGGGTCACATGAGCATTTCTCAAGTTGCACAAGCTTGTGAGCAGATTTGGCAGCATCCATTGATTTCCCCCCCCCCCAAAAAAAACGGCACTTCTATAACATCGCGCGGCTTCCCAACACCAACCGCAAAAAACGGCCCGGTCGATTGATACAGGGCGTTGCGGTCTGAATTTCGAGAGTTCCAGCGGCTGTGCGTCAGCAGGATGGTTTCTTGGTTCGAGAGGAGTGTCTAGAAGGTGATTCAATGTTGTTCGCGTGGCTGGAAAGATGCAGTCAACACGCATAGTAACGATGGGCAACCTTCCCAAGGTTACCCTTGCCTCCTTCCCCTTCGGCCCCTCTTTGGCTGCTTTCGCTGGCCGCGACCCGCTCGCAATGCTTGAAGAGGCCTCCCAAGGCCCTTGCATCCTTACCGCGCATCCTCACTATTCGAGGACAATCCTTGTGTAAACGCTTGTGCAAACGCTTTCAATAGGAATCGTATTGGGAAAAGCGGTCATGTGGTGAAAAAAGGCGGCCCTCATACTTCCTCGTCTTCCTCCTACACACAAACGAACGGAACGCACAGAGACGAAGAAAACAAATATGATAGACAAAAAATGCACGCGGCGCCGAAGCGAGAATACCGTTTTTGAAAAAAACGTGCGCGGCGCCGAGGCGAGAGTGCGAAATTCTCAATAATGGTAAAGCAAGCCGCATACTCCACAATCCCCTGGCCTCCATTATTCCGGTTGGCTGTGCCTGGCTGCGCGAGCACTCGGGTGGCGTGGTTCAAATCTCGTGCCTTCTCGACCCTCCTGTGGCGTCGGGTCCTCGTCGGTTTCAGTCCGAGGCACCGCGCGCCCCCTCGTGCCTCTTCATCCTCCCCCACTGCCCTGTTCTCCCCACGTCTGCTGACCACGTGTCCGGCTGCCCCACCATGCGGAGTTCCACCTGCGGCCCCAGCTGGCCGGTTTGCGTGCCGCTGCGCGCCCATGTCGGCAAACCCCTCGCACGGATCGCGCACCCTAGGGAGCCCAAGGCACCCCAGAACGACCTCGAAGAGGCTTCCGAGAGGCCCCCCGAGAGACCCCAAACAGGCATCCTAGAGGCCTCTGACTTACGACCCAGGCAAGGTGCCTGGGTGGGCCGAAGACCACTCGATCCGCCGCTCCCCGGTGCTGGCTTGCAAGAAAGAGGGGTGCATTCGATAGCAAATCGTGGGAGCTTTATATACCTTCTCAGTTCCTTCTCTAGCGTCGATTAGCGGTCTGGGAGTCGATGAGATAGCGCTGCTGTAGTGTCGGTTAGCGTCGATTTACCATCGTCCAGCGTCGCAAGCGGCGACAAGATGGTATGGGAGGCTCCCATGAGTTGCCACCGAAGGTTTGAGTTGGGCACGTCCTCTTACAAGTGGAATATGGAAAAATAGTTTTAAGAAATAGTCTCGGGACGATCTTTCGACTATCTTCAAATTGTTGGTCGCATTGTCCTCCCAAATTCGCCTGCACCGACAAGGTGCACAGCGCACTGGACGACAAACCGAACGAGCCCTTGCCCAAAAGGTTCCCCGATGGGGTCTCGGCCGATTCCGCTACCGTGCCCACGAAGCAATCGTTTCGCCAAAGGCACCCGCCGGAGGAGGAGGAGGAGGAAGAGGAGGAGCCCAGGAGGACGGGGAGGAGGAGGAGGAGCACAGGAAGAAAGGAAGGAGGAGGAGGAGGAGCAGGATTTTGCGCACGACGGCATGCTTCAAGAATGAAGCCCTCGTTGCAGACAGGCAGTTTCAAAGAAGCCGTGCCCCCCACGTTGGGATCTTCCGAGTTGGCAGTGAGCACGCGTTTCGCCTGGGCCAGTCTCCCCCCCAAAAAACGAGAGATGTCGAAGGATATTGTTCATGACGTCATTTTGATCGTTAGCTCTAAAGCCAATATTGCCAATATCTATAGTATCCCGCCCAACGGGCACTTTGCAGATAATGTGGTCGCTCTTGAACAGCGGAAGGTAGTGAAAATGCCCACACCCATTTCGCATTTTAGCATCGTCGCTATCATATTTGCAATGCAGTTGGCAGACTGATCAACCACATACGCGATCTTTCCGAAAGGCGGATCTTGAATACGGAATATCGGTATTATTGTGGTTGGCTGGAACAGAACCGTAAGGCAACGGAACCCGCACATTGAGGTATGTCGCGCGTTTCTTAGTAAGTCGTAAAAGTAAGTTTGGTCACAAGATGGGGACTATTGATTTTCTCAGAGCGCATGTGCAGATACACCTCGGAAGGGAAGAGGAGTATTTCATTATCGGTATTCCCCGAGAGGAGATCACCCGTACGCCGATAAGCGTCAGCGAGGTCGGGACTCCTGATCCAGACGACTGGGATGCAGCGTGGGACCCGTGCAAGGACGACCGACCCACTCCACCTAGCGCAGGAATCCAAGGGCGTGACTGATTCCCCCTCCTGGGAGTGCACGCAGCCTAGGCATGTCCCAAGCGCCGACTGGTGGACACCACCTCCTGCCTACCTGCTCCACTCTGCCTGGCAGTCGCCAAACCCCCCCCCAGCCAGTTTCACTTGCAGCGCCTGGCTCTGGCCGCAATACCCTGTGTTACCTCTGACGTGGCGGAGGGGCACCAATACCCTCGCGCTGCGCACATAGACAGCCCACGCTGGACTCGTGGACCTTCAGCGCTTGGCCTCGGCCGCAATACCTCGTGCCACCTCCGCTGGGGCGGGGAGGCACCAATACCCTTGCGCTGCACACATAGACAGCCCACGCTGATCCGTGGACCTTGCCCTGCCTTCCCTCCCTGCGGCCGGCTGCCGCCTAGGACCAAGGCCCTGCCTCCAACAGAGGAGGCCTCTGCCCATGCAGACTAGAGGGGTCGACTGTGCCACTACCTAGGGCAGCCCCTCCTTTTGATAGCAGCGTTGGATGGCTGAAATAACCCATCCCCTGTCGTCCACATCTACAACGCACTTCGGCGCAGGTGCACGACTTCACCCACTGCACCGCCCGTGCTCAGCCCCAACCCCCCCCGTGGACACGTAGTTTTGTACATGGTTGTTCTATGTATTGATATCCGTGTTCTGCGGCTTTCGGCTGCGCCCCCACCTCTCTTCTTTTTTCACCATCTGCATTGCTCCTCCGGTCATACGTGCAGCCCGTCTGCGGCTCGGGCCTTCCATCAGTATTCAGGGCCATGTCAGTACTCAGGGTCGCTACGTGGCCGGTCATGGACCGCAATGCTTGCTTCCTGGACAACAATGATTTGGGTCAGCTGGGCGCGGCCTCCACCTCCATGTACAAGGTGGTGTCTATTGCGCTTACCTTGTGGGCCGTCTGGGACCCTGGCGTGCCCGGTGGAGCCCGCTGGGTTGGCAGCCCCATGGTCCTCAACCGGCCCTTTGCCTCGAGCAGCCCTTTTGAGCTCGTGGACTGAGGCCACTGTGGAAATGACCGCAAACCCCCATGGTCAGGAAGTTCTCTATATGGTGGTTCTGTGTATTGATACCCGTGATCTGCGGCTTTCGGTTGCGCCCCCAATTCTCTTCCCGTACTTGGACGATCTGCGTATTGTTCTTCCGTGATCTGCGGCTTTCGGCTGCGCCCCCACTCCTCGTCACTTTAGTTGCCACGTCTCTGCGGCTTTCTGCTGCGCCCCCCCGCCGGCAAGGTTGACGTCAGACGCTGAGGAGCAGGCAAGGGTTTCCTCAGAGGTCACCCCGGCACGTCAGCGCACAGTCTGCGACCGTGGCCACCCTGCTGTTCGGCCACCTCCTCTTCCTTCTTCTCCTCCTCCTCCTCCTCCTCCCCCTCCTTCCATCACAAGTTATGCGGCTTTCGGCTGCGCCCCCCCACCATTCAGCCGGGAAGCATGCTACGGCCATGATGAGCGCCCGACCCTCGTCGCCGGCCCACCACTTATCTTTTTCAAGGAAACGATGGTTTGACAGCACGCTGCCAGCAGCCAGCACACCCGCAACTCGACAGCTAGAAGCCACCTATCTGCCCTGGCAGCGTTGACATCTGGCTGCTGCTCAGGTGGCACGGTGGGGGGGGGTGGCTGTGGCTATGGCTACGTCAAATATGCGGCCCTGCAGCGAGTGGTTCAGCCTTCGCGGTCAAGGTCGCGTCGCACGTCGTGGCGCAGACTTGCAGCCCAGGCCACGACCTCGCCAGTACTCGCATCGTTGTGCCCCCGAACTTCGTGAGTCGGGCACGATGTGCATACACTGGCTAATGGCTGGAGATGGCTCACACAAGAACGCACATCAGTGGTTTACTCGACCGGTTGGTGCTCAGTTCAGCCACCTCATTGGATGAGTGCGACCTCGCAGTGGTTGGTTGGGCCTGCTGCCCTTGGTCGCCTCTTCAGCGCAGCCCTGGACATCAGCCCGCCGGCACTTTGCATCGTTGATC